GATTTTTTCACTTTTTAGAGTAGTCCGAAGTTTTTGGATTTTTTCGATCGAAAAAACGTTTTCAAAAAACGTAAAAGACACATATTCGTGATCAACGTCAAATTCTCTATCGAATAGGCTAAAAAAAACGGCAAATTTTTTTCTTCACTACATTTTTGCCTTATGTGCATCTTACTGAAAAATGTGAAAAAAACCTGTGTTTGTACACCATTGCATACGCATGGCTTTTGAAAAACAAACAAAGAAAGAAAGAGAGACATTTCTCATAGAAAATACAGATAATTCATAACACTGTCGATATGCTGTGTTATGTATGTTATGATTTTTTTCTTTCTTCTAAAGGGATATATAAATTCTTTCTGATAAAGTGATATATACCTGCATAATTTTGGTCTATAGAAATCGGTTAGTTCTTTTTTTATTACGCCATAATTGAAGTTAATACTCGTTTAGTCTCCTCACTTCAGTCATAACGAACAATCAGGCCGATATTATTCGCCATTGATTATAGCTATAACATTCCACTGGATGCAGGTGGCAACTGGATCTTCAACAAAACGGTAAGGTACAATGTTCTTCGTTAGCTGACATATCTGATTCATTTGAAAAATCTAAACACTGATAAACGGCGATAAAATCAGATGTTATAACCATATTTCAAAAATACCGATTCAATGATTTACAAATTCTTCGATCTGTGGGAAGCACAGATCTCGTGCACGTAACAGATAACGATGTTCATCTTTTTGTTTTACTTGTCAAGAAGTGAGATAGTTCATGCACACAGAACTTCATTCATATATTAGGAGACCTTTACTCCATTGACTGTAAGTCTATGGTCATACAAAATAAAGTGTTTGTGTGTGTCCGTCCATTGGTGTGACGGACGTAAGCGCACATGGTGGCGGACGTACATACGTATGGTCATGTGGCAGTGTGACGGATGTACATACATGTAGCCATCTGGCAGTGTGACGGACGTACATACACAAAATAATTAATGAGTGTCACGGACATAGATCCACATGGGTAGATGCGTTCGGGTTTTCTGTGGAATCAGAGAAGTGTATTAACACATATCCTGGCTGCAAGCGCGGACCGAAGGGGCGCGTGAGCATTGTTTGGAATATAGAAATATTTTTCGACCTCTGCGATTCTTTGGGGGATCTCGAGAAAACTTTTACAGATTTAAACTACATTTTGAAGCTGACACATCAAATCAGAGAAATATTCATAACGCTTTGTAGATAATCTCTAGGGAACACCGACCAAGGGAAGTGGTGAACGTTGTTTCCAAGAACGAGGCTAAACGTTGCTTCCACTTAGGTTCCGTTTTCAATTGTAAGAAGACTGGGAGATTTAGTTAATATTATGTCCATTTCGAAAGTCTGTATTACAGATAAAAGTAAATCAAAATTACGGAAACTCGATGAACTGCACAAATTGAGTAAATAACGCCTTGACGCTTTCAAGCTATTGAGAGTCGCATAACTTCTGAACTCATGCTGATCTGATAGATCTGACTTCTATTCCATACTTGGCTTCGAAACACGTACTCACTCTGATAAAATTTTCTGACCGGTGAAAAGCTATAGCAACTGCTTCAGTAAACTAAGGTGGAAAATACGGACTTTCTCATCGTAAAAGATATCGCTCAATTTTGTACTAACAAAATCGAGTTACAACAGAATGAATAATAATTCTGACAGTACACTCATTCGACTTACAGGCAATGGACTTAGTGAATCGATGCGATTCACGTTATTTATTCCATTGACTGTAAGTCTATGGTCATACGAAAAAAATTTGGTCATACGAAAAAGTACAAAGTGTTTGTGTGTGTGTGTGTTTGTCCGTACAGCGGTATGACGGACGTACATACATATAGTGACCAGTGAGTGTGACGGACGTACATACACAGAAACACTAATGAGTGCCACGGATAAAGATTCACATGGGTAGATGCGTTCGGGTTTTATGTGGAATCAGAGACCTGTAATACCTATCCTGGCTTCGAGCGCTGACCGAAGGGACGCGTGAGCATTGTCTCGAATTTCGAAATATTGTTAGACTTCTGGGGTTCTTTTAGGGGTCAGATAAAACCAAATCAAATTACAGAGACGTTGTCTGGAATTCAAAAGTGTTTGTGAACCTCGCGGGTTCTTTGGGCGCTCTGGAGAAAACTTGTATAGATTGAAGCTACTTTACGAAGGTGGCACATCATATGAAAGAAGCATTCACAACGCATGGTACATAGTACCTAGCGAACACCGACCGAAGGGAGGTGTAAGTGTTGTTTCTACGAACTAGGCCAAACGTTGCCCGCACTCGGGTTTGGTTATCAGGGGTAAGAAGAATGATAGATTCGTCCATTTCGAACGTCTGTATAGCACATGAAAGCAAATCAAATTACAGAGTCTCGATGAACTACAGAAATTCTGATAAACTTTTCTAACCCCTGAAAAGCTATAGCAACTACTTCTGTAAACTACGATGGAAAATATGCAAGCACTTATCGTAAAGATACGCATCAATTCTGTAGTAATAAGATCGGGCTACAACAGAATAAAATAATATTCGCGACACGACATTCATTCGACTTACAGTCACTGGACTTAGTGAATCGATACGATTCACGGTATTTATTTATAGGGCTGATTTAACAGTGTGTTCTTCTCAGCTATATTCATTTTTAATTTTAGAACCGGTCTATCCGGGGCCGGTTTGCCGCTGTTAGCCATATGCTGTTTGGCTGTAATAGGTTTACTAGTAGCAGCTGCCATTGTTCTTGCATTAATACCAGTTTATCTTCCGCGGCATTCTGTAGATACCCATCGACGTAAGTTTGCTTTGGGTGTTTTGTTTTAATGATCTGACTGTCTCTGTTTAATAGCACAAAGTGGCGTGCTAACCATGACATATGATTTATTTATAAATGCAACTACATCAAGGGAAACTTTTATTGCTGCACTTGGTACAGTTAATTCGGCAACGCAGAAAAGGATACAAGTTTTGGTAAGTTATTAATTTTTATTTGATTTTGGCTGTTATATATGCCACGTTTGGCCCTTAAAGAATCATCTCGAAAACGCGCACCGAAAGTTTTGGTGTAAGTTCTGGTAGAGTCAGACAGACAGTGATCGTTGAGCAAACCGATCGGGTGTCGATTTCTATTGTAAAGACTATATTCATGTAGTCCGTCTAATGGTTGAGAAAGAATTCTGGTGAGAGTTATAAGGGTCGCAATTGAGGATGCCACATGACAAAATAACTTACTATACCATAACTTACTTTACCATACAACTCATTACTCCATATAAGTTTCATCCAATCAAGAGGAAATGATGTTTCCCACCAATGGAACGCACTGTAGATGGTTCTCACAGCCAGTTTTTCATTCCTCATAATCGAATACCTATTGCGCATCATTTTCATCCAACCAAGTTTTCGCTGCTAATTTGTCCGTCGCTAGTATCTAGTGTGCGGACATATAAACATACAGGCATTTTAACTCGAGATAAGACCCTTTCCTTTACAGTCAGATGATTTGCTGAGCCTTTCGCCTTGGAGCTTTTTTGTCTTGGAATTCGTCACGCTGGAAAAGTGTGGTAATACTTCCGACATTAGTTTTGGGTTGAACATTTGTTTACCGTGTCACATGCTCAATTAAAGACCCAGTTTATTCCGTCATGAGAAAAAAACTGTAAAAGCAGAGGAGAAGCCTTCTGTTACTAGATCTACCTGAACAAAGCATCATTTAACTGAAATATATTAGATACTAGATAACTGAGAATGCATGGTGGAATTTTCTAGTCAAATGTTGCTTTATGTAAAAACCAAATGAAATTTTACGAATTTTTTTGCTTTTTTTTCATTTTCGTGGACCCCTTACTACCGCTGCCTACAGCTTTTGCATGAAGGATAGAAAGCTTTCCTTTTCTTCGAAACTAATTTCTATGTATATTTTATGAGCGTCAGCAATACGAGAATCATCTGTTATTTTAACATTCACAACTTGCTTGGCTATGCTCGAATATTTCGGATAGAAGCCCTCAACTGGATTTATCATAGTCAAAATCCAAAAAAATCGAATTCCAATATTTTTCTACGTTTCCAAACATAAAAGTTCATTCATATGATGGCTTCTGATCGCTATGAGGAGCTATATTTTTTTTTAATAAATGACACAACATTGCGGCACCAGAAGTTTTTTTTGTTAGATTTAACCGGTATAAAAACACAGTCTCCGAGATGACGGCAGGTAAAGCTGAGTTGGATTAAACATTTTATATCATTTTTCTTAGTTACAACAGAAATTATCTGGCAATTCAAGAACAAAAAATGTTGATATTCTTTTAAACAATGCTGTGATCACAGCAGCAACAACAGACACCAAGACTAGACGAGTAAGGCACGTGATATTCTGAAAGAAGCAGCTGTCGTGAACAATCCAATAAGTATGAAACAGAAAAGTCTTAAACGGGCTCTTCCTTCAGAGCAGGCTACTGACGTGCTACGTACATACCTTGCTTTCCCTGTCTTACTATTAGAAAGCGACCAGCAAAAACGACGGAGACTTTCTATATCTACCTTAGGAAAAAAAGCGACAAACAACTAAAACTGAAATAGAGCAGCTGATTTCAATTACTAAAACAGATGGAACTCCCAAAACTGCTCAACAATTGTCAATCTTCTTTCAATTAATGTTCTCATTCGGATGTAATCAAAATTGTCAACAAAATTTAACACAATTTATTCTCACTACACTATTATCTCTTATCTCTTGATTATCAAACGTGTAAGTACAAGAACCTTGTTAATTATTTTTGAGTGATTTGTGAATGAAACGCACACAAATATGTTAAAACAGACGCATTTCTTCTAACATAAAATCTTAGCCTTAATACATAAAGACTTCTTAGCATCCATTCGGTCGTAATAGAAATGAGATGTGAGTTGTTCGGGCTTCTAATTTCGTCTGCTGAACAGTCATTTCTGCGCGAACTTTAAATGAATAAACTTTTCTTTTTCTTTTCATATAGCTATAGCATTGCTTACGGCATCAACTGAAACAAGCCCACAATCTCCTTCCACACAAGTGCCTCATAACAGTATTCCTGGAAATAATACAGCGTCACCCGAAATAACAGTCCCACAAACCACCGTCTTCTCCGTTCCTCGAAGTGATACAGTATCGAAGAGAATAACACTCCCACAAACCACCGTCTTCTCCGTTCCTCGAAGTGATACAGAGAGAATAACACTCCCACAAACCACCGTCTTCTCCGTTCCTCGAAGTGATACAGAGAGAATAACACTCCCACAAACCACCGTCTTCTCCGTTCCTCGAAGTGATACAGTGTCGAAGAGAATAACAGTCCCACAAACCACCGTCTTCTCCGTTCCTCGAAGTGATACAGTATCCAAGAGAATAACACTCCCACAAACCACCGTCTTCTCTGTACCTCGAAGTGATACGACATCCATTGGAATAATTACACAAACAGCTGAGATGACATCCTCACAACAAACTTCGGTCTCCTCTAAGCCTGGCGTAAACACGATCACCACTAGAGTCATAACACAATCAGGAACAACAACAACGCAGCCCTTCTCAGGAACTCCTCCACAGACTGTTGGTTATTCTGCCTCAAATTCAAACACTACATCGGTGGCGGTAGTCCCTACACAATCGACTACCACCATCACGTCTACCCCGCAGACGCCGTTCTTTACTAAACCAGGAACTGATACGACTTCTACTGGAATCACAACTCAAACCATACCAGTTACTCAACAAACTTCTGTCTTTTTTGAATTGGGTGTAAATACCACCAGTACCGAAGTTGTCACGCAAGCGACAACGTCTCCTCTAGCAACTTTTGTTGTTTCGCTTCCAGACAGTAATACAACTGCTATTCAAGTTAATGCTTCGCAAACAACCCAATCTACTACTACAGCTGCAATGTCTTCATTGCAGACTGTAGTCGTCTCGAATTCCAACCGCAACACTACTTCCATTGCAGTCATGACTTCAACAACTCAATCATCCACATCTTCCTTCTCTTCAGCGTTACCGCAGACCTTTGATTTTTCTGAACCTAGCGTCAGTACAACATCAGAAAGATCTTCAACTCAGCTGTCGACCATGCCCTCCTCTGAAATCACCACAATCATCTCCTCAACAACAAAAACTACTACGACCACTACCAGCATTCCGATTGCTACAATGACATCAGTTCAAACTTTGAATCCAAACTCAGTCTCAGCTGCTAATTTAACTACAATCACCTCTCCAGTGCTCATTACCCTTTCTTCGCAAACTACTAACTCGTCTGCAGTACCTAATTCAAGCAGCACGACGGTGCAAACAAGCCCTGGTACTTCTGCTAGTGTAATATCGCTGATGACCACCATCAGTAAGTCCCGGTTTTGTCGCATTTTGTTCATAGCTGGGCGGCTCCGGAGCCGGCTTCGTTTATAAACGGAGCCAGAGCGTCTAGTTCAGAGCTGGAGCTGGAGCCGGTGTGCGGATGATGATAAGCACGTTCGATCGAGGTAAAGGTAATACTCTTACGGTAGATAGCTATATGAGTATGTGCGCTGATGACAGGTTAATATATGCTGCCTCAGTCCTGAACTTCTTCTATTAAATGTAAGGGTTTCGAAAGAAGATTTTTTACGTATATATGTCATGCAGTTATAGATTTGCACTTCAAAACGATTTTCAGAAGAAGCAATAGCATGTTTCTCTTTCTCTTTTCTTCGTTCTTTTCTTTCTCTCTCGTTTTTTTGGTCTCGAAACAGACCTTGACTATTACTTTCATTTTTTATTCTCTCTCTTTATCATCGTACAACCTGGTTGTTGACTATCCATATCTGGATTCGCTTGCTCTTCGACTTTTGTGTGTGCCTGCAACATCAGCGCCTGTTGAACGCGTATTTTCTACCAGCGGTTTCGTAATGCGACCACACAGAGGAAGTCTTACAAAAGAAATGTTAGCGAAATTAACATTTCTCAAGTGCAACTCTGATCTTCTACATTAGACATCTTTCGTTTGCTATTCGTTCGTTTTCATTTGTATTATTGTTTTGTATTTTTAACAAGGAAAGATGAACATTTTTTTGGAGCCGGAGTCGGAGCCGGATGTAAAAACAGTAGGAGAGGAGCCGGAACTGGGTGGAGCCGGGAGGAATCGGAGCTGCCCAGCTCTGATTCTGTTGCTTATTTCCGAAGGTGATGTTCAGGCGTTTGGATAGTGCATTTCGCTGCCCTTCAAAAACGAAACGTACTGCTTCTAGCGTACTTTATTCTACTTAAACTCAAAAGACACAATAGGACATTCCTGCTACAAATAAAGAGTTAGGACATAAATTATAAACGTGTATAATGAATGTTTTTTCTTGTTATTTCAGCTGGAACAACATTTACAACAGCTACAAGTAAGGTTCAGAAGGCACAAGAAAGTCATTTACTTTATTAAACGATTTGCTTGTTCTCTATTACAGATCCAATTATGTCCACAGCAACAAACAGTAAGCTTTTTAGTTTTTCTCGATTCTTGCGTTTATTTTATATTCATCTTTTTTTTGTGGCAACAACGTCTATGTCAGACACGACGTCATTCTTTTGTGCACAGAATCCATCGTTCGTGTCAAACTGTACGAACCAATCCCCCATAGCAAAAGATCCATGTTCGCCATCTCCAGGATGTGATCCACAACTTACGGACATATTTCATAAGGATAACAGTTCTCAACCAGGCGTTTTCTGTACCACTGGTACAAGTGGCTCAACAAATTATGTTTATGAAAGTATATGCTCGACGAATTGCACAACGGACACAAATTGTCCAAACGGCTTGTGTGCACCTTGTGGAGAAGTCGGTTGTGGCTCGAGTTGTAACTACACATGTAGCATTATAGTTACAGGAACGAACTGCGGAATGAAATATAGCTAGCCATAGGATTAGGTAACAATCTTTTTTAGACAATGTAAATTTCTTCAAGTTACTTTATCTTATTACCGTTTGTGTGCGTGTATGTTCGTTAAGAGATCGAAAAGTACATGGGCCATTCGGGCGTTACCGACATAAGTTAAGTAAAACTTTGAAAGACTACATTCAAAGGTGTCTAGAAATCAGACATGGTGGCATCGACTGTGTGCTCTAATGATATCACAGAGGACATGGAATTCAGGTCATACAGTGAGAGAGACCGATGTGCAATTTGAATATTTTTACTCTAAGTGGCAACTTTGAAGGCAAAGACCTCAAAACGGAGACGACCAGTAGAACTGGAGTTTTTTACATAAACAACCTTTGTTGTAGTCTATCTGAAACTGTTATTCAGAGGTCGAACTTTTCTTTCATATCAACAGGATAGATGTCCAAAGTTGATCAATATTTCGATTAGCACTCTCTGTACAGCGCCTATCCTAAAACGAGAACAGATCGATGGTTTATTTTGTAATAAACATTTGTAGTATTTATGCCGAAATATTTCAGTCTGCATCATATGTCGTTCTGAGTTATACGCGGTGAAGACCGACTGTTTTGACACGCTTTCAGACCGTCGATATTTGAATTATTCATAAAATATCTCAGCTCGATTACTATTCCCTTTGCGTAAGCTTTTCACAAAGCTTACGGAAATCGTACCCCTAAAGCACTCTGTCTAGAGAACGCTCAGATAGAGCGCTTCTCTACACTGTTGACAAACTTAAAAGATATTCTTCAGATTCTGATCCGTTCATTTCTGTAGTCTGAATAAAGAACTCATAGAGAATGAAAATAGCATTTTCGAAATTATTCCTGAAAATTCTACTTTGGGACCGTTGGTCACGTGACAGAGTACTAAAATAAATAAAAAAAAACATCTATCATCTCACCCTCACTGGAATACTTAAACTTTACTAATTCATCTAAAAATATTTAATACGAGCGCTGAGAACAGCTATTATCTTCACGATGAAACTATATCTTGGTCAGAAAAAAGCAAGGCTGGAAGACAGAGCATGAGCCCTTCTACCCAGATTGACGTGAGTGGTTGTTTTTCATAGTTTTACGGTATTTGTATGTAGAATTAAAAGCTGGTTGTCTTTGTCGTTTCATTTGTAAGTGCGCTTTAATTATAAATGTCGTGTGCAGATCTTCTTCATGTCTTTCTTAGTAACAATAGTATTACTTTAGTTTACAAAAACACTCTTCGCAGTTAAGGTATTAGGTGTATGAAATGCTGTATTTCTTCATTTTACAGATGAATTAACTTTCTCTTATTTATTTATTTAACCAAACGCACTAATTATTATGTTGTATTTGTTCTTATGTGTCATCCATTCATGTGTGTCATCCACTGTTTCGCTACCTGACACATGTGCATCGCCGTATGATCGAACTGTACCTCATTCATTTAGCTCTGAAACTGATCCATGTTCTGCGTGCGCACGACCCCAGTCGCCTTACATTAATCCGTCTAATACCGTTGTTTATTGTAATAAAGATATTGATAATGCTAATAGTTACTGGATTTATAGCAGTTATTGTAATTCACCAGCTTATCAGTGTTCAACAGATACCGATTGTGGACAAGATGGCATGTGTATGAATCCAACCGCCACTCAGTGTTTAAATGGAGTTAGCTATTGTGCTGTGAAGGCTACTGGCTCAAACTGCAACCAAGCATTAGGTATGTGTTTTCGCGGTACATTTGCCGTTCATGTGAACGAGACATAATTCTTCAGAGATACTGGATCTATCGCATAATATTTATTATTTTGTACGATTCAGAACTTAGTTTAAACTCCCTAAAGCTACATTCAACAAAAGTGCACCAACCTTTCCACTCACCCTTCAACCCCTTTAAAACATTTCGCTCGAGCAAACGTTTATACTTTCGAATCACTTCCTTCTGCTCACGCTGTTCACTATTTACTCCTGCAGCGACCTGCCAAGTAAACAACGGCGGTTGCCCAACGAATGCAACCTGTTCCTATTCATCCAGCACCAACAGCATCACCTGTACATGTGGAGTAGGATTCACGGCAAACGCCAAAACCGGGCAATGCAACGGTAAAAACCATAAAACTTCCTTGTCACTGTAAATAAACCTCACCAGCAGCTCTTTCTTCAAGACACCTGTCAAATTGCAAACACATGTGATAGCTACGCTAATTGTACTCACAGCTTATCTGACTATTCTGTTGTTTGCACATGTGAAACGGGATATAGTGGCACAGGTTTGAATGGACAATGTCAAGATAGCTGTTCAGCCAATCATCCATGTGACTCAAATGCTAATTGTACACATAACATCAGCACAAATGCTGTGATTTGCACGTGTAACAATGGCTTTACGGGTAATGGCTCGTACGGATTTTGCCAGGGTAAGTTTGGTGTATTTTCAAATGTAAAAGATTCAATTCGATTTGTTAGCCTATAGTTAAGAAGTGAAAGTTAAGATATTGATAGATAAATAAAATCTTAGTTGAAGCCTTTCAAAATCTATTACTGCTCCTCTTTCGAAAATGTCTATAAAATAAATGTTTAATATTAATACTAATCTTATTAATGAGCAATAATTTCAAAACAGAAAGTACGATAACAGCAGCGTCGTTTATCACCCGTTGAAGAACGCTGCTGTTATTGATCTATTTATTTTCAAATCAACCTTCTCTTTTTCGATGTTCCGCCATAATTGGTCAAGGTTTCGAATAATGCTAGAATCAGAAAGCCTTATTTGTATTCTAACAGACGCTTATTGAAAAACAACAGTTCTCATTCGATATTATTGTTTTATAGGAAATTGTGCTGTGAATAATGGTGGCTGTGATGCTAATGCCACATGTTCTTATGATTCAAGTCATGCCGTTGTATGTAAATGCAATACAGGATTTACAGGCAATGGTACAAATAACAATTGTCATGGTAAAAGCAAAAAGCGCTGATCTTTTGAACATTTTATTCTCTGAGAATATCTTGATACAGACACACGCAGAGGGAACAATTCACAGTGCACGTACTTTCAGCTACAAAGTTTGTCTGCTTAGGGCTGTTGATGCACTCCATTGTTTTTAATCTTCTCATGATTCTGTAATTCAAGAGCGAGATGAACATCGCTTTTCGTCTTTGTTCTGTGTGGCGGTTTTTGCTAAACACAATTTCATTCTCTTTTTAAACACATAGAAAGGAATTAGAGTGCACGTGTTTGTTCAATACATTCAAAATATTCTAAAAAGTAATAGTAGTTTCTCTATGAAGAATGCATGTCGTTTCTCTCACTATATCCTCTTGCGAATCTTACATATCTCAGTTAGAGTCTAGTCACATTGATTCGTTTCTTTCGATAGATACCTGTCAAATTGCAAACACATGTGATAGCCACGCTAATTGTACTCACAGCTTATCTGACTATTCTGTTGTTTGCACATGTGAAACGGGATATAGTGGCACAGGTTTGAATGGACAATGTCAAGATAGCTGTTCAGCCAATCATCCATGTGACTCAAATGCTAATTGTACACATAACATCAGCACAAATGCTGTGATTTGCACGTGTAACAATGGCTTTACGGGTAATGGCTCGTACGGATTTTGCCAGGGTAAGTTCGGTGTATTTTCAAAGAGAAGTTGGTGGAATCCGAGTCAGGGGTTGGTGTTCCGTATCGGCAATGTTGGGGTTATCCGACTGTGTGTGTATTTCGGCCGATAGTTAAGATAGTACCGCATTTTTGACTTGCGTGCTCCTTGTAAAAGGTTTACGTTTTCGTGCTTTTTTTTCAGACAGCTGTCGTGTGAACAATGGCGGTTGCGACATTAATGCAACATGTTCTCATTCATCGTTGGATTATAGTGTGGTGTGTACCTGTAATACTGGGTTCGCTGGCAATGGAACAGCCGGAAAGTGCCAAGGTAAAAATTATACGAAAACATTCTATGCGGTGAAAATAAAGTCTCTCGTGCCTGAAACCAGTGGGTAATATATTGTCCAAAACTGTTTGATTATATTCTATTGCGAGTTACTGAATTTGCAGGGGGCACTTGTTGTGACGACTTTGTGTTTTTTAGTTAACTTTCTGTTTTAGATAGTTGCTTGATCAGTAATGGAGGTTGTGATATCAATGCCAATTGTAACCATAGTTTAACTGGAGCTGTTATATGTGCATGCAAATCAGGATATACGGGCAATGGAGTAAATAATGACTGTCGAGGTATGGTGGCCTTTAAAAATAGATAGCATTTCAACAAAAGACCGGGACACTATACTAGGAAATTGAATTGATTTGAGTACTTAGTAATTAAAGTTCTGTTCTATAAAGAGAAACTTCAATTAGTACACTTTATTTACCATGAGTAGTAAGAAGTTACATTATGTATAAGACGGTTTATGGTAAAGTGACGAGAAAGAACTTCTGGACCCTTGGATGAAGAATAAAAAGTTTCATGAAAATGAACAGTTATAAAAGTGTTTGGTGACCCACACGGGAAATTGTTTTTATGTTTCATTTGCTCTTCCGCTCGGAGCATGACTCGGTATATGATATAAAAATATCATATACCGAGATAAAAGCGGATGTGATATGAGATAAAAAGCGGAGAGAAAATTATTTTTCTATATCATCATCGTGGCGCCCTATCGCACCTGCATTATGAATATTACCTTTGAGTGAACAATTTTCTAGATCCAGTTTTGTCACCGTTGGATACAGAATGTATACTGAACAAATGGTAGATGAATAATTGTTTCTGCCGTCATTCCCGTTGTATTTCAGAGCTGTTAGATACACAAAAAAATGTGTAAGATCAAATGTACTGCATGAATATATTGTTATAGTGTAAGTTAAAAGTGGGCTGATCCTGACACTCGAGACGTATTTAGGCATTCAACGTCAGTATGTTTTTCTACTTGCCGTAGCTCTGTCCCGTTCAGCTTTTCATCGCTTTCATATTTTTCATGCCTTTCAACTTTTCAAGCCTTTCACCCTCAAGTTTGAAAGCGATGAAAAGTATGAAAAGTAGAATAGTACGAAAAGTATGAAAAGTAGAATAATATGATAAGTTTTAAAAGTATGAAAGCGACGAAAAGTAGAAAAACGACTGCAGCCACGTCTTCGTAGAGAAAAGCACTTTAAATATTTTTTGTGTATTCTAACAGCCCTCTTGTATTTGGGCACATTTTTCTATTCGATACTACTATCGGCTTCAAAATACAAGGCAGTCCGTTGTTTCTCGAGTAACTCAAAGATGACAAAAGATAGAAACTTGCGATTTTCAGAAGTCAAAAGAGGATACCTGAAGCTATGTTTTCACAAGCAACACTGCTTTCGGAAATTATTTAAAACATCGGTTTTTTAGAAGATCTTTGGAAAACCAGCATACAAATCTGTTGATTTCTTTTTACAGATAGATAGTCCAAAGTGTCCTCTTCAAACTGAGAACTAAGTGAACTTTTGACTTATGCTGCTTCAGACGTGACATCGGATTTCCTGAGAGTCCTAGGATCAATGTCTTTTTAGGTGTAGTAATTCCGAAAACGAATGGAAAGATAGATAGTCGACCACGCTCAATCTCATCGTGACATTTGTTTACTAACACTATTGAAATCAAATCCTAATATTCAAAAAATCTCGTTCTTCTGCAAAACTCAACGTACCATCTAGTTATCAAATGAAAATCCTTCCTCAAAGCAGTCATAATGTCACTCTAGACCTAGTACCTGAAATGTGGTTCTCTTGACTTTTTCTTTTGTTTTCCTTGCTTTTACTTATTCCATGAAATAAATTAACTTAAATAGACTAGACGGAGTGCCCTGGCAACCTCTTTACAGAGCATATTTAGAGAGTCTATCATTTCCTGCTTAATGACTTGATTGGAGAACTTAAAAGAGCTTCAACTACATCGATTTCAAAGAACCACTTGTAACTTAAATAACACGTACGACAGTGAAACGTATAAGATGTTTGCGCATCAAAGAAAACAAATGGAAACGTTCATCGTATATGAACGATTCAGCTTGTCTCATTCTACATTTATATTATTACAACTAACTAAAAAGGAGACAAATGTATATGTCTCTCTAGCTAAACGTGCATGTCGACTGACGTACTATCATTGCTTAGTTCAGTACATGATGTCTATAAAAATGGTAGAATTTACCCAATACAAACTTCGGTTAACAGTAGGACGATTACGGCTCGTGCAGATATAGAACGTAGCTATAGTTATGATGCATTCTAAAAACAAAATGTGTAGCTGGGAAGAACGGTTCCTGTTTATCACGCGGTTTTTTGGAGCCGGTTTTAGATTGCTATATTGAGGAATACTTTCAAAACGTATTCTTTTTTGAAACACTTTTAGCACTTCAGCTCGCTACTTCCAAAAGTGACCCTTTTTCAAAAGTATTTTGGTGTGAATCAGTTTTCAAAAATATTCAGCGGAAAAGCGAACCCTAAAAAGAGCAGTTTTTAGTGCATTTTGTTTTTCAGAGTGCGGTGCAGTGCGAGCCGAGACATATATATCTGTTGATGATACGTGAAGAGAAGGATGATCGATGAAAAGAGAAGGACAGTTAATTTTAAGACGATATAATATCCGGGACGAATAGATGATGACGGTCGATCAGGCTCGCGTTATCATATTCCGTAGTGGATAGAGAGCCCCGAGTTCTTCCACTACAGCTGGCAAGAATCGAGGAAGCCTGTCCCGAAAAGTGTACTTTATTGAATAATAAGAAAGAAAAAAAGTGTATAATAATCTGTATATCTATCACTGTACAAATCTGGATTGACGTAAAAAGAAAACTAGACACTACATATACGAAGGAGAAAGAAGGAAAATCACGCGCCTAATACACAAATACATAGAAAAATGAGAATCGCGGATAATGATCTGATAAGGTTGTAACAATCTCTACTCAGTGGATGATCATTTTGTAGCTTTGTTCATGAAAGTCTGATCTACGAAATGCTACGAAACTTGAGCTCGAAATCGCACGTAGGTCATAGCTTGGCAATCCTGTCCTTTATGGATAGTAAGTGAGACTAACTTGTTTCCGTCGCTACAGGTATTCTTAGCGTAAATCAGTAAATGCATCTGACTGTTCAAGATAGATTTTCATAGAAAGTAACCGACAAAGACAGAAAGAAATCGATTCTGAAGAAGAATGTAAAATGGTCCGCTGATCTGATTACATATTCTCATATGACGACTAGTGACCTGGCACACAGCTTGTACCGATTGCAAATATATGAAGGCTTGGAGAATTAGACGGCAATGTAATGGTTTGAATTGTTTTTGTTGGATTAATTGCAAATGCTGAATAATAAATGTTAACCTGATGATTGGTGATACCACAGCTACCCGTTGTACATGCATTCCAATTAGTCGTAACCAAAATGTCTGTTCCAGCTAAGGGTGTAGCAGCATACCAATCATTAAATGTTAATTGAAGTGTTTGTGTATAACCGTCAGTGTAAGTAACGATAATGTTTCCACCAGCAACACCAGAACCGGCGCCCAAGAATCCAAGCGTATAGCCCATCATACCAGTCACGTTAAGTACTTGTCCACTTCCCACAACATTGTTATTTGTACCAGAAGTAGCATTTGGCCATAAAAAGTAAACGCCATTATGTTGAATAGTTGCTCCAGGCGTTATGTGAGCGCTACTGTTAGCAAGTGCTTGAGCTGAATAACTATAACCCGTGCCGTCGAAATTAGCCGAGTTTGGAGCAGTATTATCACTTGTACCTTTGTTATTATAAACTTGTGAAAGAGCTGCGCTTATTAAATTACTCGTACATATGGATGGGGGTATTGTGACACTATAAGCAAGGATATGAAAAAGAAGTAGGTCGACCTAGTCCAATAAAAGAAAACGCGATGCGTTATCGATTACAAAACTTTTTGTTTCTAAATTTTTAGGAAAGAAGATGTTTTGTTTAATTTTTAACATTTGATATTTTAAATTCGACTTTGTTCACCCTCACCGTTACGAAAAATCTACAAGTGATATGGATAAAAAAGTACGCGATTAACCTCTCTAATCAGGTTTAGTTTATGCATCACGTTTATTAAGTAGGGTCGACTGATGTATCTCAAGTTCAATCTCATTCGAAGACATAAAAAGCTAGCTAGCAACGACACTGTGTGAAGTTGATCGAAAATCAATACAAAGTACCCTTTAGATACATGCGCATTGCTTTTTCTGCGAAACCAAGTGATTCTAAAACGTTTGAATTCCCGGAACGATAACATGGGCTGTACTTTTGATCTGGAGAAGAACGGAGTGCCCTGACAACCTCTTTATAGAGCATATTTAGAGAGTCTATCATTTCCTGCTTAATGACTTGATTGGAGAACTTAAAAGAGCTTCAACTACATCGATTTCAAAGAACCACTTGTAACTTAAATAACACGTACGACAGTGAAACGTATAAGATGTTTGCGCATCAAAGAAAACAAATGGAAACGTTCATCGTATATGAACGATTCAGCTTGTCTCATTCTACATTTATATTATTACAACTAACTAAAAAGGAGACAAATGTATATGTCTCTCTAGCTAAACGTGCATGTCGACTGACGTACTATCATTGCTTAGTTCAGTACATGATGTCTATAAAAATGGTAGAATTTACCCAATACAAACTTCGGTTAACAGTAGGACGATTACGGCTCGTGCAGATATAGAACGTAGCTATAGTTATGATGCATTCTAAAAACAAAATGTGTAGCTGGGAAGAACGGTTCCTGTTTATCACGCGGTTTTTTGGAGCCGGTTTTAGATTGCTATATTGAGGAATACTTTCAAAACGTATTCTTTTTTGAAACACTTTTAGCACTTCAGCTCGCTACTTCCAAAAGTGACCCTTTTTCAAAAGTATTTTGGTGTGAATCAGTTTTCAAAAATATTCAGCGGAAAAGCGAACCCTAAAAAGAGCAGTTTTTAGTGCATTTTGTTTTTCAGAGTGTGGTGCAGTGCTAGCCGAGACCTGGTTCGAGCATAAGTAGTTTATATTGATGGTTCCTGTTTCGCACATTTAGTTTTGCGGTGCTTTCTCCCTCGGACAATAAACGATTAGGGGTACTACTGAAACACGCGAACACCCCCAAAATAAAATCTTAGTTAGCCAATCGATAGAGCTCGTGGGCCTGAGTATAGCAGCGCCTAACGAGACCCAAAAAGGGTTTATAATGTCGTTTTGTAAGCATACATTTCAACACCTAAAAGGAAGGGTAAGAACACTCAAAAAAGTTTGCCAAATTCATCTCCAGGTTGTTCCGAGCCGACCAGTACCTCGCCCTCAGCCTACCCGTAGGCTCGTAACAACCTGGAGATGAGTTTGGCACACTTTTTTGAGTGTTCTTACCCTTTCTTTTAGGTGTTCGTGAGTGTTCTTTCGGTATTCGTTAGAAATGTATGCTTAAAAATGAAACTATAAAACCTGTTTTGAGTGCTCGTTAGGAGTCGTTATACTTAGCGCAAAGAGCTCGATCGATTGGCTAACCCAGATTTAATCGGTGAGTGTTTGTGGATGTTCGCAGGTGTTCGTCTCTTACAATAATACCCAACGACTAGCGTTACCAGCATCCAGTACGTAACCGAAACGTTCTCGTCTGCATTTGCGCTATGTTCCTTCATCTATTCTGTTCAACGCTCACAGAATGCTGGTGTCCGGGATAGCGGGGCTTGTAAAACTGATAATTGCTAAATAGTTAAAGTCCACATTACCTTCCGACTGCACATGATGGTTGAATTGAGTTTGTACCCATTGCAAATATATGAAGGTATGGGGTATTAGACGGTAATGTAATGGATTGAATTGTTTTTGTTGGATTAATTGCAAATGCTGCAGTAGCCGTTTGCCGTGAATCCTACTCGCTGTTGGTGCTGATGGAGGGTGAGGGTGTGGGCGAGGGTGAATGTGAGGGTGGTGAGATGAGTAAGCTCTACTGCTAGAATTAGAAATGAACGAATCTTTTATTATTCGTTGAATTTTGTTCATTCCTATTGGCCTGTTTTTCTTTGCTTTGAGAAAATTTATAATCTTTTTCTTCTATCAAGCATTCCACTACGCGTTTCGGCCTTGATTAAGAGCATCATCAGCTGGATTATCGAGTTGTTTTGTGTTCAAGTCATATTGGCACAAGCAAACAGTATGACTTCTTCTCTTACTCGATTGAGAAGTGGTCATCGTCCTTAAGTTCACATTCTTGTAGGAGGATGACACTTTTCTCGATGTATAACGGAGCACGTTACTGTTCAGTACTGCACTCATTCCGTTTTCATGGCCTTCGTCTGTCATATTCATTTTGTAGAAGTCTGATGTCTGTGATGTTTTTGCTGTTTGAATTTCTTCTGGTTCATTTGAATTGTTAATATCTGTATCATTGAAATCAAATTCATCTGATCCTAAAGTAAAAATATAGCTCACATAAGATAAATGTTGTTAAATACACAGAAATCAGCGAGTATTTTTACGACTAAGTGGTAAGGTGCGACAGTGGTAAAAGATATTTATAAAGTGAATATTACTGCGTACTTTGCCTCTTATTGTTATTATTTTCATCTAAATTGCCATCAATATGTTTATTTTTCAAGTTCGACTTTCCACGAGGACTTTTAACCAATTTTTCATCAATTTTCAGCACATATTTCGAATATAAATCACTTTTCAATAATGCCACTGCTTCATTTGTAACATAAGTTTCATTTTTTTGTATCAATCGAATTCAGAGATTGATAATATGTTGTAATATTGATAATTCGAAATTCTTTTAACAATCCAGCAAATTTAACTGTTTCTTGCATATTAACTGGTAATAGTTTTAAATATGAATCGAAATACTTTTGTGTATTACCCAACAAATTGTTTCTTTTTTCTAACAGTTTCTTT